CCCTCCCCCCCTTTGGCCGGGGGGTGCCCGGGGTTTTGGTTTTGTTCGGGGGGGGGTGGGGGGGGGTTTTGTGTGTTTTGTCGTTTATCGCTTGGTTTTATAGGTTTCCCCCCCCCCCCCCCCCCCCCCGGCGTATGCCATTGGGGTTGGGTTTTCGTCGCTTGGCAACGACGTTGTAAAACAAGCCCCCCCCTCGGTGTTTGCCATCGGGATTGGGCTTTCGTCGCTTGGCAACGACGTTGTAAAACAAGCCAATTCACTTCGTGAACTCGGCAACCAGGTTACCGTTTTTCTTTTTACCTCGTTTTTTTTTTTTGCGGTAACCATAATGGTGGTCGAGTAGATCATGTTGTGCGGGGTGGAGAACCCTCACTCCGCGCAAGGGGGATGATCGCACCACGTTGTGTTAAAATGGTCAAGCATCCTCGAGGCAGTTACACAGTGCTTACAACTGTCTCTGGAAGTGAAAGCACCAGAAAATAAATTAAGTCATACGCAGCTGTCATCCGTACGCAAGGAAGTAAGCACAAGATGCCGAGCACCCTTAGCAGGATGCAGCTCACCCTTCATGCGACTCGCCAAATACCTCACGGCGCTTCGCGCTTGGTGATGTGAGAGCCTGGTCCGGTGAGAACCCGGCGTGCTCCGTCCCGACTTTGTAGGGATGCGAGGTCAATGGTCTAACGACTACGGCATGCACGACTATGAGTACACCCCCCCCCCCCCCCTCCTCGCGAGGACGAAGCGTGGTCAATGGTCTAACGACAAACGGCATGCAAAAGATCCCCCCCCTCCTACGTCGTTGCACGGCTAATGAGTACTTCCGGTTGCGATTTGCGGATCACGATTATCTTCGTCCCAAAAAAGGGGGGCGCCATTGTCATCGGCAGCGGTAGGATTTCTTCGTACGTCGAGCTCCACCGGTGCACGGTGGAGAAGAGCGAGAGCGGCCTGGAGATAGAGGACGACCCGCAGGGGGAAGCGGGCGCCGTGGCGGTAGCCTGGGGTATCACCCTGCTCGTGGCGGACAGCCTGCTTACGGACAACTACTGCGGCAAGAAGGTGAGCTACTGGTCTTTGTTGAGGGGGAGGTGTACTCATGTAAGCACGTGCCGCTGTCGTTAGACCGGTGACTGACCTCACATCCCTACAATGCCGGGACGGAGCACGCTGGGGGGGCGGGTGTACTCATGTTTTTTTGCGCGCCTTGGCGGTTTGACCACGCGTCCTCGAGAGGGCTGAGCATTTGCTCCCGCAGGACCGATAATCTGAGCTGGTCTTCGAGGGGGGAGGGTCGTATAGCGTTGTGGTGGTGGGGGTGGTGGCAGTGGTAGGTACAAGTGCTGGTTGGCGGAGATGGTGTTTACATGGGGCGTTGTTGTTTTCGCTGCTGCTGTTGCTTCCTTGGCGGTGGCTGCCGTCATTGCGAAATTTGCAAAACTAACGCTCAAATCAAGAACATTACTGTTGCCTCAACCAGTTATTTTCGTCTGCTACTCCTATAGCCGTCCTACAACTAAGAAGGCAAATTCTCTTGACGGAACCGTCGCCCCTCCCCACCTCCCAAGAGAACCAAAACAACGCCCCCCCCCCATCCAAGAGACGTGGGAACTGAAGGATGGGGACGTGGTAAGCAAACTAGGGAAGTACCGGTGGGTAGTGAAGGCAAGAAAGGGCTTAGACCCGAAGAAAAGGGGGGAGGGGGGAGTCGGATTCCTGGTCAAGGAACACTTGTTTGACGTGGTGGAAGTAGTGGTGAAAACGGAGTTCGAGGAAAGCCTATGGCTTAAGATACCTGGGGAGCGGGGTGAGAAAGATTTGTTTCTAGGGAACGTATACGTCCCACCGTCGTCGAAGAAAGCCGCAAGCAAGGCGCAGGAGAACTTCGGACAAATTGGGGAAGATGTCCAGAGGTTCAGTAGGAAGGGAGAAGTTGTCATGGTGGGCGATTTCAACTCCAGAGTAGGGAAAGCTTGCAGTAGAGGACAGGCGATCGGGCAGCACGGAGAAGACAAAGTGAATGACAACGGAGTGAGGATGCTTGAATTCTTGGGAAGCAACGAGCTGATGGTGTTGAACGGTAGGAGGGAAAGCGATAAGCCGGAGTTCACCAGGCAGAGGGCAGTTTGCAATGAATACTCGATCCTCGACTACATCCTGGTAGATAGGGGGAGCACACAGGTCCCGGAGCTGCACGTAAAGTGCGATAGATATAGGTTCCACCGACCATTTCCTCATATGGGCAAACATCGGCCGATCTAGAAAGACGGAGAGTAAGAAAAAGAGGAAAGTGTTCCGGTGGAAAGTAGAGCGTTTGGGAGACGAGGGGACACGCGATGAATTCCAGAAGGGATTGGCTGGTAGTGTAGAACCCTTCAGGAAACTGCTGAGAAGCGTCGAAGACGGAAAGGTAGACGCACAAGCAGCAGGGGACAGCGTGATTGAAGGATGGGAGTCCATAGTGAACACAACGGCAGAGAGAGTAGTGGGAAAGAAGGTGGTACGATGTGGGGTATCGGTTAAGTGGTGGGATGACGAGCTGAAAGAAGAAATAGGGGAACGTAGAGAAGTCTTCAAGCAGTACCTGGGTGAGGGGTCTGAAGAGAGTTGGGAAAAGTACAGGGCCAAGAGGAAACAGGTGAAGGGACTAGTGAAAAAGAAGAAAAAGTGCATTTGGGACGAAGTAGTGCAGAAGGCCAACGGAGGCCTGGAGGGGAACGCCAAGCAGATGTGGGAAGGGATTAGTGGGATGGTAAAAAAGACCGCGCAAGGGGGGGATACAGGGGTAGCAACATTGCGAGGTGTGAACGGTGGACTAGTCAGCAGTGGGAAGGGAAAAAGGGAAGTTCTAGCAGGACACTACAAGAGACTTGGAGTGCCGTCGGAGAATGAAGATTTTGACCAAGTGTTTAAGAAGGAGGTGGACGCATGGGCCCAGAAAGAAGAAGAGACATCGAAGGCAGACGTTGGGAACGTAGAACTAGAAAAGGAGTTCACTGAGGACGAGGTTGAGGCGTGTGTGAACAAGCTGCAGTGCCACAAAGCAGCAGGGGCGGATGGGATAGTCAACGAGTTCATGAAGTTTGGGGGGAAGGGGATGATCCAGCTGATGGTACTCCCTTCTTCCCCTCGCTGCCTCGGCAAGGTTTTGCTTAGGCATGACCCAAAGCGAGGGGGGGGGTCTTTCTAGCGAGCAGGGCTAGACTCACCCTCAAGGGACCGATACCTTCTTGCTACGGCGCACCCGCCGCAAGGCGTGCGTAGTGGTGGAGTTGGGTCGGCACTGGTGCGTCAGGTACAAAGGTGCAGATGCGCGGGCCTCGAGGCCGTCGGTGCAGGCAGCAATGCCCATCTCATCTTTGTGCGCGGAGGCAGACGCCATCAGAAAGGTGGACGGGCACTATGTACACGGCCCTATGCTTGCTAGAGGGAGCTGTACTGTCTCAGTAACCTGGTTTTGCCATCAAATGAGGAGGGGACAGGTGGTGACGAGCTGACTGGGCTGGTTGACCCTTCGGCGCGAGAATTTTCAGACCAAGAACCCTAAGTGCAACGAGGGAGAAAGCGAGGAACCGACTGGGAAGGACAGCAACGAGAGCGTGTACGAAGCGGAGCGGGTCGAATTCGGTCGTGCTAGGACTGGCCACAGCGACACCGGAGAAGCGGCACCGGAGCAGCGGCACCGGAGCAGCAGCGGAACCGGAGCATGCGGACGGCATCGAACCGTGTCGCACGGACAAACATCTATCTCTTGTGTTGTCAATTATTTTCCGTTTTTTTTCCTGAATATAGGTGTTAGGTGTGTGTAATGACGTCACTGGTTTTGTAGAGAGACGCGGCAGAGATGGCGCGGATAACCCGGGTGCCTTAATTGTGTACCTGCATCGTGGAAGACCCCTTCAATGTGGAACGATTCCTAGTCAGTGCCGATGTTTACACTTCTGTGTCTAACACAGATGATCTGGATAGATTCGGGCGATTGTCAATTGCAATGATGGCTTTGGTTGGTTGTTCTTCTTCATTGTATGTCCACCGGACCATTCTGACAGCACTTCAGACAGCAGCTGCATGCCCCGAGCTTGCTGTGCACCATACACCATGGTGTTATTTTGTACAGACAGCACTTCAGACACACTTCAGACAGCAGTACGCTGTAGTCGACAAACATCCATTTTGGTGAAGTAAGTGCGGGACAAGGGGGGTGATGCCGCGTGCTGTAGTCGAATTGTAGTGTGTGGGCGTGTAGTTCAGTTGTGAGCACGCAAACGTGCTGCAGGGATTGTAGGTGTACCTCCTCGGGCTTGTGTACCCTTTTCTTGCTAATAGTGTGCGTGTTCTTTAGATCTTCTGATGGCTTTAGCATTTTTGTGACCACGGGCCGAGTCTTTGCTAGATTTTGGGATTAGCAACTGACACGAGTTTAATGTGAAGAAAAACAAACAACAACAAACAACTGCTGTACAACTGGGTGTGGAAAAACGAGTATGCGCCAAGTAGATGGCGGGAAGGAGTGGTTGTGAACTTGTTTAAGAAAGGAGACAAGACTGACCCAGGAAACTACAGGGGTATCACACTGTTGAACACAGTAGGAAAAGTGTTTTGTAAGCTGCTGAACGATAGGATAGTGGGAGTATTGGAGAAGCAACGTAGCATTAGTGAGGGCCAGGCAGGTTTCCGACAGAAGAGGGGGTGCGTAGACCACGCATTCACGGTAGGGAGAATCATCCAAGGTAGAAAGAGGGCGGGAAAGCGGACGTACTGCTTCTTCCTGGACGTGAAAAAGGCATACGATACCGTATGGAGAAATGGGCTGTGGAAACAATTATCCAAGTACGGGATCAAGGGGAAAATGTGGAGAGTGCTGAAGAAGATGACAGAGTGTACGAAAAGCGCGGTCATGCTAGACGGAGAACTTTCTAAATTCTTCGACATTGAGCAAGGGGTCCCACAAAGTTGCACGCTGTCCCCAACATTGTTCCAGGTGTTCATCAACGATCTGTTGGAAGTCGTAGAGGCAGTCCGGAAGGGAGTAAAAGTAGGGGACACGGAAACGTTGGTGTCAGGAATACTGTTTGCGGATGATTTTGTTGGTATGTCGGACACCCCTGAGGGACTGCAATGCAACTGCAAATTGACGCGGCGAAGAAGTTTACTGATAAGTGGAGATTGTCTGCCAACGTTACGAAGAGTGCCGTCATGGTATGCAACGAGGGCAGGGAGGAACCAGTAGAACATAGATGGAAGTGGGGGGATCGAGGAGATTGCAGTAGTGGACCAGTACACATACCTCGGAGTAGAGATCGCAAAAGATTGCTCGTGGAATGCACACATGTCCAAGGTAGCGGAAAAGGGCAAAGCACGAGCAGGGAAGCTGCACCCAATACTCGCAAACCGGCACCTTGATACACGCATCAAATTGACGGTGTTGAAGAGCGTAATCGTACCGCCGCTAGAGTACGCCGGAGAAGTATGGGAAGGAAATAAGAAGGTAGTGAAAGAACTCGAGGCGGCGCAGATGAAAGCAGCGAAAATCATCCTAGGATGCTCCAAGCGCACAAGTAATGCAGCAGTCAGGGCAGAATTGGGGATCCAATCCCTACGGTCGGGAAGAGACGCAAGGAAGCTGACATGGCAGTATCGCATGTGCGGGATGGGAGAGGAGAGGTTGCCGAAAATAGTATGGGAGGCGAAGTGGGCAAACAAAAAGAGGGGTAGACAACCCACGGAATGGGTCAAGGTTGTAGAGGACGTATGGAAGGGATTGGACATCGACGAAGATGAAACGCTGGAGACGGAGGGTCTACAGGGGTTCAAGAAGAAGATATCTGTTGCTTGTGCCGACAGAGAAGAACATAATCTAAGGAAAGAATCCAAGGATAAGGAGGTTCTAGAAGTGTACGGAATGTTGAAAGAAGGAATAGGGTTCAAGGATTACCTACATGGACCAATGGATGCAGGGACAAAGCTTAAGGTCAAATTCAGGACCGGGGACATAGGCCTTCGCGAACGTCGACGAAGACATAGGACGGTAGACGACGAAGACGATAAGTTCAAATGTGATTGCGGCTTCGAATGCGAAGACAGTGTTCATGTAGTCGCGGAATGTCCGTGGTACGAAAAGGAGAGGGAAGTGTACATGACTGAGCTGGGAAGAATACAAGTGACGTACAGGGAGATGTTTGAGGCATGGAAT